TTTAAAAGGGCACGCAGATTATGAAATACGACCTTCAGAAATGCTACTAACATTTTACTACTAAAAATATTACTTTGTATAATCTCCACCATGTAGTCTTTTAGTGACCTTAAAATCACTATAGTTTCAGCAAATATTAACATTACTGGAAAAAACAGTACAAGTTTAAAATTTCTTCAAAACTGTACAGCCAGAACTCAAGTTGCTCTAACAAACAGACTAGCTGACACCTCCAAGTTACCTTCAAAACTGAGGAAAACAACTTTAGCCCACATCCACTGACTGCTTACGGTCATCGGGACCATGCTGAGCACTCTATGTGAGTTTTATGAAATCTTACACCAACTGCAGCAAGGGGGTGTTATCATCTTTGTCTCGGAGTCAGCAACAGAGGCTTCGGTGCAGCAGTAACCTGGCCCAAGGCAACTAACTGCGTGGTCTGCGGGCTTTAGAGTTCCCGGCCACCTCCCCCTCTTCTTCCCTCAAGGCGCACACCCTCCTCTCTCTCTCCTAAGTTCCAAGGCCCTTCTTGTGCTCCTGTAACTCATTTCCTGAGCCCACGCAGCCAGGCTGGCTCACTTCTTCTACCTCTTTGACTTTCTAAATAAAATTTTGCTTGTATTTGAAGAAAGAAAAAAAGAAAGGTCTTTAAAGAGGTCATAAGTTTAAATGAGATCATTAGGGTGGACCCTAATCCAGTATGACTGGTGTGCTTTTACAAGGAAAGCTGGACACAGACACAGAGGGAGGGAGAAGATAATGTAATGTGACGACGCAGGGAGAGGACGGCCATCTACAAGCCCAGGACAGGCCTCAGGAGAAACCAACCCTGATGACGCCTTGATCTCAGACTTCAACCCCCAGAATCCTGGGAAAATAAATGTCTGTTGTTCAAGCGACCCAGCCTGCAGAACTTTGCTGCGGTAGTCTGAGCAAACTAACACAGTTCCCAAGTCACGCCTGCTTACACACCCAGAGCTCCGAGTTCAGTGACAGTCACAAAGAGCAGCGGGGCTCACCCACGCCGTTTTAAGGCTGTCGATGACATCTGTTCAAATAAACTTATGTTCCCATCTCATCAGGCAAGAACAAAAATTGTGCATTAATATGTAGAGAGTAAGTAGGAGGGTGAAAAAGTTTGGGTGCATATGTTTCTGCCCCTCATCCTCTACCCTCAGAAGGTAAGATGCTCCCGTGGGAAATATGTCTGCAGTGACTCCCTCAGCCCAATGCGAAACAGGGGCACACCACCCATGGGCCAGGCTGATGGTGTGGCCACAGCAAGCAACCTACTGGGGTGCGGGGAAGGGAGGAGGCATCCCAGGACAGAGAAGGAAGAAAGAGAAGGCAAGAAGAATAAGACGAATGCTCAAAAATCGCGGAGTCGGGGGTGGCATGACACACACAGGGTGGGGCTGCAATTGTGTCTGTGGGTGAAGAGCAGCACAGTTTTCCTGTGTTTCTTCCCCACTGCCTTTGCGAACAGCCAAACCTTAAAGTGATGTGACAAGGGAGAAGAAAGGGCAGAGATGAGGAAAGCGGAAAACTGCAACACTTTCCAGTTCACTCCATCCCCCACCTCTCCCTCTTGTATAGGATACTCCCAAAGTATCCTATACAACGAATACCCCTACTGCCTACCAACCTCTTGGTTTTTGTTTCTCCCCCAAAGAACGGCAAGCGGAGCAAGAAGGGGAAGTACACGTAAGTGGGGCTGACCACAGGAGACGACCATACCTCACCACCTAATGACCGCGCTTTCACAGCACCATAAACTCAGTAACCAGTAACATATTTGCACACTGCTTGTAGGGGACAATTTTGGGGTTGTCTGCCAAGTCCAGGCCTTGCTGCTCTAACCGCCCCTCCGGCCAGAGGAGCGCCTCTCTCGAAAACATCTGAACTTTGTGACCAGGGAAGGCCCTCGGCCCAGTGGGCCGAAAGGACTCTCTGTCCTAGGGGCTGAACTAGACTCCTGCTCAGTCCTTGATAGCTCATCAGTCTCCACTGACTGTAGGGTGTTGGTTGGTTTAAGGGCTAGGGTTGGTTTGAGTACCATATAGGGGCAAAAGTTCTGTCCTACATACACAGAAACAGGAAGCCAAAAGGAGAGAAGAAGAAAGGAAAGGTATATGGAGAAGTGGTGGTCAGAAACCATGTGCATCCAGAAAAAGTAACCTCGGATCCTACACAATGTCCACTTCTTGGTTTTGGTTCCTTAGGTTCCTTATAAAATTTGGTTGCTTTTTATTTTGTTTTGTTTTGCATAAGCTGACAGATTTATGTTTGCAACCAAAAGAGTCTTGATAAAATAGTGATTTATAATTTATCAAGCACCTTCAAGTATACTATCTCAATGGAGACTGATAATACTTTAGGGAAAAAAGAGGGCAGTTATTTTTACTCGTGTTTTACCGCTTACAAGGGAGAAGGTCAGGGACATTGTGGCCCCAATGAACCAGCTGTCCCTTGTGATGTCCCCCTCCCACAGTGACTCTGGGCTCGGCTATACGACTTCCTTTGGCCAACGGGATATTAGCAAACTTAGTGATACAAGCAGATGTCTGATTAACCCTTGCACATTGGGACTTGTCTTTTGGAGAAGACCACCCTGAAAGGAGAGGTGTCCGGGAGAGAGAACACCCACGAGAGATGAGAGAACACGGAAGGAGATGCCACGTGAAGGAACACCAAGACACCTGGGCTCACGGCTGCCACAGTAAGGACCCCAGCCAACAGCACCCAAGAGCAGAAGAGCCTCTGGGTCAATCCACAGACTCATGAGCTACTGGCAAACTGGTGTTTTAATGCACTAACTTTTGGGGTGGCTTGTTACACAATAGATAGATTAAAAGGATGTTAAGTAACTTCCCTTATATCTCAAAGCTTATAAATAAAGCTTGAATCCAGGTCTTTTGATTGATTTCAGTGATTTATTCACTGCTCCAAGATGTGACTCAAATTGAAGAAAAATAACTCAAAAGTTTCATACACTTCATTTAAACAATAGAAAATGAATGTTAGTTCAGAACACTCAGCTGTGAAATTATCTTGTCAGCATATAAATGAATTAAAAATATATGTATGTAAATGTGGACAGGTAGGGGAGTTAACTAAAATACTTATCATGGTTACGCAATGTCTAAATACTTTTCTCCACTGTATTGAAAGAATTTTAAAACTATCAAAGGTAGAATACACAACAATGCTTGTAGCAGAATGATTTATAATAGCAAAAAAACAAAAACAAAAACAAAAACCCCAAACAAACAAAAGGAGGAGGAAGTAGAGGAGGAGAAAGGAAAGGAAAAAAAGGAAAGGAAAGGAAAGGAAAGGAAAGGAAAGGAAAGGAAAGGAAAGGAAAGGGAAAGGATGCTATTACCCAGTGATTGGAAGAAGGATGATATATTCATACAATATTGTAAAGAAGGAACTAAAGTTTCATACATCAACATGGATAAGTCTAAAAAAATATAAAGTTGAGTAGAGGATAAAAGTGAAAAAAACACTAACAGCTTCATATCGCTATAAAAAATCCCCAAAATACAATCCTTAGCAACGCATTGTTTAGGGATACATATATAATACAGGCAATAATGAAGATCAAGGGAGTAAACACAGAGGCTAAAGCAGCAGGCTCTTGGGAAGGGAAGGAAGCAGGGTATGCTTGAGAAAGGCACAGCGTGGGCTCCAAAGATACTGCTCACGTTTCATTTCCTAAGCTGGGTGGTAGAGATGTGTTTGTTTTACAATAACCTGTGCCATATATCTGTGATAAACAGCTTTTGTATCTAAAATATATTTCATAATGGAAGCAGATTTTCAAAAACAACCAAAAAAAATGTAACAAAGGAAAATTAGGTTGTCTCCAGCAATATGTGCTTTATAATACCCAGAAATCAGCCTAGCTCCTAAATGCTAAATAATTCCATTTTACAATAAAAAGGAGCACACCTTTTACTCCCAAATACCCAGCAATAATGGTAAAGCCTCCAATAGCTCATAGCTTGTATTAAAATTGATACCAAAAGAAAAAATAGATATTTAAATTTAATGCTTAAATGATTTCATTTAGTCTTTTCCAAAATTTTTTGGGACCCACCCATAAAACATCTATTTTTCTCAGGAACAAAACTACCTTTAAACCCAGGACACAGATATGCCTGTCCTTCAAAGAGAGGGCCTTGTCCGGGGAGCCCACCGCGGCCCACAGGCCGCATGCAGCCCAGGATGGCTATGCAACCCAACACAAAATCATAAATTTACTTAAAACTTTATGAGATTTTTTTTGTTTTCATTAGTATTTGTGTATTTAATAGGTAACCCAAGACAACTCTTCTTCTTCCAGTGTGGCCCAGAGACACCAAAAGGTTGGACACACCTGGACCTTCCATCAATTTGCCTGACCAGAGAGGACTCCTGGAAAGGACCACATTCCATACTAAGAGACCCATACCCTTTCCTGCCCAGAGTTGACTGTATCAGGAATGGACAGCTGACCCAAAGCCATCAGCCATGGTCTGCCACCTGCCTACCTCTCCAGCCTTATTCCCACTATCCTCTCCCTTCAAATCAGTGCATTTGGGATATCCTTCCATCAGAGTACCTGCCACCATTATCAAATAATTATATGTTCATTTCAGTGATTATTCACTAACGTCTGTCTTCTCTCCCACGGTGTAAGATCCATGAGAGTGAGGATGGGTCAGTTTTCGCTCACTACTGTGTTCTACCAACTAGCACAATTCCTGACACGTGGTAGGCATTTGATTTTTTTTTTTGTAAAAAGGAAGAAAGGATTGTAATATTACGCCTCCTTTTCTCTAAAGTTTCATTTTTATTTCATGAAACTCATATGGAAATATGCCCACTTTGGGGAGACCCATAATTAAGACAAAAGAATCAAAGCTGTAACAGAATCGACATGGATCCTCAAAGAACAAAATGTCATAGAATGCCACATTAAATTTGACAAGTTTAAGGAGGTGATGGAAACATACCTGAGTGAAGCTGAATTTTCCCAATAACACCTTCTACCAAACCCAAACAAATGGGATTCCAGGCAAGAAGTAGATCAGTAGCTAAAATAAAAGAAGAAACAGACATGAGAAAACATTCATCAGAAAACAAATGAAAACGGCGTATTAAAAAATGACCAACGTCCAAAAGGAGCAGTTATGAACACCCAGAACTGAATACATTACTAGCAAGCAACTTTTGAAAAAGCATTAAACCCAAGGCCTAAATAAGGCTTCTGTCGTAAGGACAGCTATGGGGGGAAAACTGACATTCTGAAACTCTGCTCAGTTGGAGGCAGTACTCTGGCGCCCTGCAGTGGAGGAAAGAGGCCGGTGCACTACAGAACAGCAGAGGGAGCAGTCATCGCAGTCCCACAGCCCTAGCCAGTCCCAACCCCAAAGACCGGGCCTGCAAAGCTGTCATCAAGATGCCCACTGGATCACAGTCTGGGAAGCACCCTTTCCCAAAGAAACTCACACCAAGCAAAGGAATCCAGAAAGCCAGTGCTCCTTTATGGGACGTCTAGGGCAAAAAATAATAGGAACTGCTTCCATTTATTGAGTGCCTACTGTGTACCAGGCACCCCAATCAGGGTTCCTCACCTCAGCCACAGAACAGACAGTGATTCGGGTGACTGTTTTCTCAGTTCTCCCAAGAATGGCCAATGACTGGTGCCCCTCAAGTACTTGCCAGGAATCAGGCACTATCTCAGGCTAAGGAGATATAAAAATAAAGAAGCAAACAGTCCAGAACAGAAGACCAATGGATATAGTGGAGATTTGAATCAGCAAGACTGGAAAAAGTAAAAGTAAACAATCGTGGAGGGACTTGAATGAGACTAACGAGCCCACACTCCCTGGAGACCAAGGCAGGCAGAGAATGACATGTAGAACAAGATGGCAGCCAGCAATGAGCTGATGGCATTGAAAAGAGGTGGAGACTGACAGTAGGAAAAGGAGCTAGAAGGTTATTGCAAAAGTCTCGGCTAGAGAGAACATAGAGCTATTCTAGCTTGGGGAGTGGGGTGGGCAGTAAGTAGATGAAGAATGCAGAAAAGATGAACACAAAACAGCTCAAAGGAAGTTGTATAAAGGGCAGAAAGAGAGTAAATGAAAGGTGACACCGAAACACTGAGTCTCCCCCCAGTGGGAGAGGGTGAAGGCATGGACTAGAAGAGTAACAGGGCACAGGAGGGGCAGGGTGCGCAGTAGCAGGGAGAAAAGGTCGGGGAGAACCTCCTAACTCAAGACCTTTTTGCATCTCTGGCATTTTGAACCACGTGAATACATCAGCCACTCAAAATAAATAAATAAATAAAATTTCAGCTTAAAAAAACTAGAGAAAACAAAAACAATCGCCAAGTTTGTGGAATAAAGACTAAAAATAATAGTCACTGATAGTCTTTGAGGTTCAGAAAGAGAACCAGTTAAACCCATTAAGATTAATTCACAGTGGGATGATCAAGGAGAAATGTCCAGATGTAAGAACCAGAGATATTAAAGGAAAAAAAGAAAAACAAAGACAGAAGATAATGACATTAGAAGCACAGGTGTAAAAGTTAACCTTTGAAAAGAAGGGTACCACTTTTTTCTAAGTCACTTTTTTTAAGCAGACATGAGAGGCTAAATATAGAAATGGGGAAGAGAAGCAGAGGAACGGATTGGATGGCCTTGACTCAGTAAAAATAGGAGTCAAAGGCAGCTTTGCTTTAGCGGGGGGAGGACAGGGAAGAACAGAGGGACAGCAGAGGTCTGGTGTGGTGAAGGGCATCCCGAAAGTCAATTTGTCAGTGTTCTACGTGTATTTCAAAAGCATATATATTTTTCACTTAGAGTTTTCTAGGGAAAAAAATAAATAAATAAAAACTGCATCACGTAAGGGTAAACACGTCATGAAACCTTTGTTTCTGGTACTACACATTTGTTCGCCAGGCCATGTTTATAAAAGTCTTTCTTACTACGGACCTCAAACATCTGAACACACTCTTTAACTTCAGGGCTAGGGCTCATTATACCAACTTTGTTGATTATTTTGTTCAAATCCTTTATGTATTTGCTAACTTTTTTTTTACTGTTTAACCTAATACGTTTTGGCAATGGGTTTATTTTTTTAATCTCATGCTTTGTGTTTTTTCCATTTTTCCTTCTTAATTTTTGCTTTATATTTTTGAGACTATGTTGTTAGGCATATCTAAATCAGGGCTATAATATCTTCCTGGTAAACTGCTCTGTTTATCAGGATGTAATAACTGCCTTTATTTCAAATAACATTTATTTGCCCCCAAAAGTCTAGCTTGCCTACCACTAATATTGTGAAGGAAATACATTAGGCATAAACAGGGATAAATATGAACATTGCTAATCCAATTGTATTACTTCTCCTACTCCCCACAGCTTTAGAAAGGAAGTCCAAATTCCTTGGAAAGGCTTGGAAAGCCCTGCGTGGGCTGGTCCCATCCACCCTCCTCCTGCCTGCCCACCCCCTGCATCCTGGTCTTCCTTCAGTCATCCAGAAGTATGCACAGGCTGGCCCCGGAATGCTGCTCCCCACCCACTTCTGCCTGCTCTTCATTCCTGACTCAGGGCAAGGGTCACTGGTGTTCCCTGACACATTCCCTCCTCCACCCGCCCAGCAGACTGGATCAGGATCTCCTTTGTGACTCCCCTGAACCTTGCTGGTATTTCCAGCATAGCACCTTGTTTTGGTTTAATGCACCTAATTACTGACTTTCCTGTCTCCCTGAATGAGCAGGAAGCTCATCAAGAGCAGGAAGCTCATCAAGACCTAGTCTCATTTAGCTTTATGTCCCTAGTGCATGACACAGCAGGCTCCAAAAAGCTGGGCGAACAAATGAATGTATGATACAGAATGGAGAGGCAAGTGGAAGTCAGATAATTTGCTGCGAATCACATCAGGAGGGTTTACTACTTAGAGCGGAACGGTAAGGGCAAAGTCATCTGGTCATCTCAGAAAAAGACATCAGGGCTGGCAGAGGTGAAGCGGCTGTCCAATACTACACAGTGTGTCAAAATAAAAACACCATTTCCCAGTCTCAGACCAGGGCTCCCTCTAACACACGTCTAACACCACAAGTGCCCCTCACAAATGTTCCCAGGTGTAATGCTCTCATTTTGTTTTTGTATGGGAGTTTCAGCTCACCACCATCAGCCCAGCTGCACAAGCAGGACCTGGGCGACATCCACAATGCTTTTCTTTTTTTTCCCTTTTATTTTTATTTTTTTATTCTTGTTTATTCTATTACAGCTGTGCCAATTTCCCCCCTTTGCCCTCCTCCGCCCAGCAAAATGCTTTCCTTATTCACAAGTCCTATTGGTTTTAACCCCTCAATAGCTGATGAATGAGTCACTTCTCTCCATCCCACTGCCACTGTCCCTGCCCAGGGTAGAGGCCGCCTCCATCGGCATCATTAAAAAGCTCTCGTCAGCCCCTTCTTGTCTAGAGGGCTGCTTAACACACCACAGGCACTCAAATATGAACTGAATGTAATGAGGACTCCAGATAGTCCGGTTCTGCGGGACCCCAAGGTGAAGGCAGGGGGCTGCAGGAACGAAGCTGAAGAACTACACAGGGACTAACTCAAGAGGCCAACAGATGGTGCGTTCAGGGGCTATTTCCTCCAGACACGGCAGACTTGCATTTGAGATTGAACATCAGGGCCCGTGTAGAGGACCGACAGGAGAGGGCAGGCCCAAAGCCAGAGATCCAGATAAGCGCGTGTACAAGGGCAGCCTGGAGCTGACTCCGGAATGGGAAGCCTGACACGAGTCTCGAGGTGCAGGCACAACCGTGTGCACAGCCCGAGCGCGGCGCCCCAGGGAAAGAGTCCTGGCTCTGCTACAGGCTCTGAAGCCCTCTGCACTTCTGTTTCCTCTTTTGTAAGTGGGAATTTCATCTAACCTATAGGGTTTTTATTAAGATTAAATGAGAGAATTATATGAAAGTGCCCAGCACAATGTCTGGGGCATAAATGTTCAATAGCTCTTAGCTCAAGTTGGGAAATGTATATGCATTTAAAATTCCAGGTTCCTACCACTCAGTAAATCTCTTCGTTGATTTTTATTTCAAGGATCTATACACATGGCTTTAAAAAAAAAAACAACCTTCAGTGTTTTTGACTTATTAAATCTTATGGTAAGACCATAATTCCTGAAAACCTCCTCAGAGTAATAAACGTTTTATGAAAATCTCAATATCTAGATATGCCCCTAAAATTGTTTCCTCATAATATGAAATGGAGATCTGCATCTCTGATGCAGCTCAAAACTAAACATCCAGTCTCAGCCCCAGCGACCCAGTTCAGACCCAAATGGCAAATCAAGCATGACTGCCAGCTTCCTCCTCTCCTTTAAATCCCCCACGGTGGGGGGAGAGGGGCTGGTGAGAGAGAGAGAAAGAGAGAGAGAAAATAACTAGAAGAAGTAGAGGCTAAATAGAGGTAAAATTATGCTTGGGGAAAAAGACATAGCCATTGGTAGATTTTAGTTATGTGTGTGAAAATAATAAGTACTGGGTTTTAAGTCTTGAGAAACCATAGAAGAGTATAAATAGAAAGGTAACTTTCAATCAGCAACAGAAAAGCTCTGGCAAAAATTCAAGAGTATCCAGTGGAAGACAGGAAAAGGTAACAGGAAAAAAATACAGAAGAAAAAGTCCAATAAATGGAAAACAAGAATAAAAGGTAGAAATAACTCCTAATGTATTAAATACAAAGGTTCAACTAACCAACTGAAAGTCTCAACTATTAAGTCTCAACTTACCGGTTTATTTTATTGTATGCCTATTCTGTTTACCACTGTATACCTGTGGCCTAGCAGGCATTCATTCAACAGTCATCAAGCCAAATGAATAAATAAATGAGTACAAGTATTCACAAAGGAGCCAAACAAAAATTGGATTTCTCCTACCAATTGCTCATTTTCACTGACTTTTGATAGGACTAACATTTTAAATTGTTATCATTTTTAAAGGAAGCCCTAAAACACAGTCTTTGCTATACAAGCACTTTTGATAAAAGCATTTATCTTTCAAAAAAATGTAATCA